AAAATGAAATAGATGTTATATTGGAAAATTAAGTAAATGTGTATTGATATTAACTGAAGCAATTGATTATTATATATATATATATATTTTTTTGAGGAAATTTTGCAATTCCTTCAGTATATTTAATAGTTGAAAAGAATTTAAGAACAAAGTTGTAACAATTGTTTTGAGTTTTTGAGTGAACATATACACGCAGAAATGGCGTAAGTGAGGATGTCTGTATTACAGAATAAGGCCGAGAGCTAGAGAGTACAGCTAGCTGGGTCAGTGCCATTGAAAATCATGTTGAGATATTGCCTAGCAATGAAGTAAGTGCACGAGCACCCATGACAGGTTGTGATGGATTACTGACACTAACTAACTCATTAGCATTGTGGAAGCTACGAAAAAGTCAATGTTAACAAGCAAAAGTGAGACTTTGATGCCATATTCCTTACAAGACACTAGTGTATTAGTACAAGTGGAAAGGCAACTGGCTAACTTACCATAACAGTAACCAATCACTTGAGAGTTTTGGTTATGGTTTTGGACTAGCCCGGGAAGTTGCACAGATCGATCAATAAAGTGGTACAACTACTTGTGGGTAGTTCTGAATACTATTTGGAAGGTCAAGAAAATACCAAGAAAATATGGGTTAAAAACCCGTCTGAAGCCGAAAAATCAGTTCTCCTCCGAGTTCTTGAATTGCTATCAAGTTCTTCAGAATAACACTGACCAGCTCTTCCGTTCGTGAATATGACTATGGAAATCTTGAAGCTCCGAAAGCTTATCAGTCCAGCTCTGTTGTAAGTATAGATTTATGATTTCTCTTGATCAATTAATGTAAGTAATGATAAAAGGAGATTTATGTTGAACTAAAAGAAGTGTACTTTATATGTATTAGTGGATAGTACTGATTAATAGTAATTGAAAAGGTTATAAGAAATTAATGATTAACAAACTTTTGATTTATATTGGATGTTATACGGAAAGGCTTAATAAATGTTAATAAAATCTGTTCAATGTTGGTCTGGGACTCTGATTCTTTATTCTAAATGTAAATTACCTTGAGTTAGCGACTTGTGAGCTCCACCCGCCACTACAAATCCTCCACTAAGTAAATTGAGTGTGACTGGCAGTATAATTGAAACTCCAACAAGTAGCTCATAAGGGCACTGCTCATTACATAACAAATGTATGAGATGTGATGTTTTGAAGAAAAAACAATACAGTTAACCTAATTTAGGATATACCAGTAACGTGAATTACAGGTAATCCTAAAATAACAAAGACCCATGTCAAGCCTAATCTAACGCTATAGGGTGAAGGATACAACTAAGCTCTCATTTCAAACCTGAACGTTAACTATGAGTATTAACCAATCTAAGTAAACTTATGTTATTGAACCCAAATAATTATAGATAATAATATCAGGAGTAAAAATATTCAAAAACCATAACAGTATAATGCCTTATTTTTCCAAAGTTGATGGACCATATTTCAAAATTTGTGAGCCACCAAACTCAAGTTGAGGCCTGACAAAGGTCAGCTCATTGGACAATCAATCTCCTGACAAATTAACACTGATAATACCCTAGTTGAGGACTGCCACCTGAAGCCTGTGTAAATGTGCTGATAGTAAATATAACCTCCAAAGCAGTAACTTAAAATTTGGAATGCATATTCAAAATGACTTGTAATGAAGTACTGTGTTCCATAACTGGATGGAAATACAAAATAATTCTTCTTCGGAATAAGTTACTAACATCACTTTGTATAATAAATAGTAAACTTTGTGAGGGAAATTGATACAAAGATACAAAAAGAAACTTTAAGAGAACACAAACTAAACTTCTGAACTTGAGCACTGCCAAAGAAGAAGTGATAGTTAGGTAGAATAGTGTAGAGAGAGTCACGAGTCATGTGGGTGTGTGTGGCACTACTATTGACAAAGGTTTGTCGCATGATAATTTGCATGCAAGAATCAGTTAATCCATTTGAATCGAGGGGTGTATGGGAGTGAATGGCTTGTGGAGCGCAAAACATTTTTGCAAACAGAGGGCAGCACTGAACAAGAACAGTTATGTCTGCGAGTGAAAATAAGGTATCTTATCGGAAATAAAGAAAATATAGACTATTAGTGAGTACCAGTTTCCTGGTAAAATTCAAAAAATAATGATAAATACATCCACCATTAGATTAGTAGTGATAGAAAATATAAGCTTTTGTGCATGTTTAAAAACTAGAATAAAACTATATTACTCCTTTGTGGTTCCTACAGAAGCTTCCTTACTGATGTATAACTGCATATGCTTTGTGCTTAAATATTTGTGTGAATATAAAACTTAAACAGTTAAAAAACAAAAATCATCACATAGCAGAACAGGTAATAAACTACAGATACATGTACAAGATCACACAACAGTTATATTAATTTTAGCATGTAAAAAAAAAAGAAAAGCATAAACAGCATGTCCTAACATTTGACAATCTTTTAATACAAAACTCACACAAATACAGCCAAAAACAAAAAGTGTCTCAGATAAAAGACAAATAAAACTATTATATAACTATACTGTGGGAAAAGTGAATATATCTTAGTGAGAGGTAGATGAAGAAGCCAGGTTCACATGGTGGTATGGATATCCTGTATATCAGAATTAATGAGTATTCACAAACCTCACAGGCAAAGGAGGGAAACAAAATCACAAGCAGATATAGGCACTCAACTCAGACCCACAGTATCTCATATCAAAAATTACTATTAACTGTCTGTAGCCAGTTAGGAGAAAGCAGTTTTCCTAATAAAACAGAATTATAAAAATAAAATTAAAACAGGTTATTACAACCAATCCACTGGGGTAAGCAGACCTATTTTTTGAAGTTGACATCCCAGGTCTAATAATGGTCACATACCTATTTGAGTTTAATTACACCAGGATGTCTAGGTTGATAATTACTAGTATTAGATAAACAAAAATAGAAATGTCCTCTCCAATTACAAAAAAATATAATAAACTCACCCTATATCTATCTATCTATATATCAGGTTGTAACAAAAGTTTTGTCCAATTTTTGAGCCAAAAATGTTGAACAAGATTTAATTAAGTTCTATCTCTATCTGATGTTTAGTCATGCCCACATAAATAATACAGCTCTTTTACTTTCAGGATATAGGAACATTATTCAAGAAAACACTTTCAAACTGACCCCCAAGTTTGATCCGACTAAAGAACACATTAATCATGTCAAGCTCTACAAGTTTCATAGAGGGGTCAACACAAGTGCAGCAGCAATATTTATCCAGAGCACTTATGGTGTCGATGCAATAAGTGAAAGAACTTGTAGGAGGTGGTTTTCCCATTTCAGAAATGGGGACTTCAGTTTATAGGATGAGCCAAGAGAGGGTTGTCCAAGTGGACTTGATTCAGAGGCACTAGAAGCAGCTGTTGCAGCAAATCCTGCCATTACAGTTAGGAATCTTAGTGGACAATTCAATGTTATCCATATGACCATCCATTGCAAATTGAAAAGGACCTGTCTGTAGAGACTCGCCAACAACGCATCAATTACTGTGAGGCATTGCATTCATGTCAGCACCAAGCATCTTTTTTGGATAGAGTTGTTACTGGGGATGAGAACTGGATCCTTTATTATAATGTTAAGCACCATCATCAGTGGCTTAGTCGTGCTGACAGACCTGCCCAGCACCTGAGAGGGGACTTGCATCCAAGGAAGATCATGTTGAGTGTATGATGGGATATGCATGGAATTGTCCATTATGAACTGTTAAACAATAAGCAGACAATCACAGCAGAGGTTTACTGCCAACAACTGCAGCATTTGAAAACAGCTTTGGACGAAAAACGCCCATTGTTAGCAAACAGAAAAGGGGTCATTCTTCACTATGGTAATGCACGTCCTCATACCTCACGAGTAACCAAGGATCTCCTAGAGGAACTTGGCTGGGAAAAATTGCTTCACCCACCATATTCTCCCGACCTTGCTTCTTCTGACTATCATTTGTTTAGAAGTTTACAAAATCAGTTGGATGGACTTAGACTAACTTCATAAGAGGAGGTCGAAAATGAGTTAATCTCTTATTTCAGGTCAAAACCTAAGGAATTTTATAAACGTGGCATCCAAAAACTTGTTGACAGACAAAACAAGGTTATCGAAAGCAATGGAGAATATATTGATGATTAAATACATCTACTTTGTTTGTCTAAATTCATTTGAAAATCGGACAGAACTTTCGTTACAACCTGATACATGCATACACAGCAGTAACGTTAATTCTTATACCTAAAAGCAAAAAGAACATAAAAACAGCATCTCCTTATAACTTGCACCCTATTTTTAGTTGCCTGTCTTTTATATATGAAAGTTTTTAATTGATGGCCTTGTACAAACCAAATGTACAAACCACAGTGAAAAGAAGATTACTACATAAACAGGAACGTCGAGAGCCAGCACGGGCCCCGTGGCAAACATCCTCGCCGGGCCCCCTTTCTCTCTCGCTTTTTTAACATTTTCAAGAATTTATTAAAAAGAAGATCCTAAATTAGGACAGCAATGTTACTATTAAATCTATGAAGTTACAAATATATATTATTTACTACTCAAATTATTATTTCAGTCATTCTTAATGTATCAAGCATCTATATGCAAAGAAAAGCTAAAAACTGTCGTTTTTATCATTATATAAAGATATAGCCTAAAGATGCTGTATATAAAGCATGCTTTACAAAGTATGTGGTAAATATAAAATTAAGAATTTAAAATTTCAGCATGATACCTGATATGCAATATAGATTTCACTAATGAAAACTTGCAAGAGAATCAAATTATTTCATGTTTGAAAACTACAATCTTATTTAGTAGATGAAATGCATATTGGAAAATCTGATTCATTGAAAAATAATGTTTTAGAATCAAAAGTACAAATTAAACTTCACAATAACAAATGTATCAATTTATATTGGAAATATAAGTAATACATAAGCACAGTGAGACCCATCTATACTGTATTAAGAATGTGCAATAAAGAAATTTTTATATGGGAAAAAAAAAAGTTCATTTAAAGCCATTTACTTATTTCACTTTGTTAAATATATTCCTAGAAAAGTTGTTTTCTTTTTTTTTAAATTTCTATGAGAAAACAAAGCTGTATGTGAAATTCATAAAGAAAAAGTTTCTAATACTTAGCTACAAGGATACTTCAGTCAAGGCTGTAATAACCTTCAGTATATTTAGAAATACTTCATATCTTATAGCCTAAGGAATATTATGTAAGTCTGCATTAATTGACAGCAAATAAAATCTACAGTATGGGACTTGGACAAACCCAACCTCCAAACATCTTCTCTAACTCCACAGCCAAAGCAAGCGTTAGATGGTCATTATTTTTTCCAGCAACTACCTGGATACCCAAAGGGAGCCCATCTTTACTGAGTCCTAGAGGACATTGAGTTACAGGTAAGCCAAGAACATTAAATATTGCTGTGTAACCTATAGAATATGTTTTAAATATAGTTTGGTGATGAAATAATGCTGGCTCTGGATGTGGGGGATAGAGAAATATGCCTTCATCCCCGAGAAGCTCTTGGAACTCACATTGAAGATCAGTACACATATTGACAAATTGAGATCTTTCTTCAGAACCCACAGCTGAACATAATTTTTCAAATATGCTCAAACCAATAGCAGGTAGTGTGTGCTTAGATAACATACACATCCACTTTAGCAACTCTAGCAATCCATTCAACTCTCCCTTTCTTTCAAGCATCTCCGAGCTAAAACTTGGTGCATCTACTGAAGCCATCTTGTGAGCCCATATATAAAATGAGTATTTCATCTTGGACAAATGAATTTTCTGTGACTTGATACCATACATGTTTTCTAAATGTGTAATAACCTGAAATTAACAACAGCTATAAGTATGAGAAAAAATCTGCAATGATTTTTACATGTCACTAGGTATTCCAAAACCTGATCAATTTCTTGATGGAAAAAATAGGGGAATAATGTAACTAACATTATTTTATATAAACACAAAATGCACTTAATGTGTAATAAAAATATTCATTTTTGGTTGCTCACAAAATAAATATATTATAACTACAGTTTACATGTGTTAGGTGTATAACTACAGTTTACATGTGTTAGTTATACAACTACAGTTTACATGTGTTAGCTATATAACTACAGTTTACATGTGTTAGCTATATAACTACAGTTTACATGTGTTAGCTATATAACTATAGTTTACATATGTTAGCTATGTAACTACAGTTTACAAGTGTTGGGTGTGAATAAATACCATACACTTATACAGAGAGAAAAAAAAAGGTATAATATTAATAATGATATATCAGTATAAAAATACAGAGAATAAACAACCTATTTGTTGGTACAATTAACTTAGGCCAGGTTGGATTATTATTAAATATTGGTTTGTTTGTTTTTTAAACAAAATCTCTTTATAGCATTTCTGTGTCACTACTAATTCTTGATTTTTTTTTACATATTTCAGGAAACTAATAACTTTTAAATCACCATACAGTAACCTAAATTAATTTAGGTGTGCAAATAATGTCAGAACATTTCCTTTCAATCAATAATTGCTATCATACAGGACCAACTGTTTAATGATTATGTGTATATATTACAGATTTCTTTTTCACTGAAGGTAAAACTGAAAAGAGAATCTGTGATGTAGAGGTCTAACTCATTCCTCGATTGGTTATATCACAGATTCTCTTTTCATTTTTGCTTTCAGTGAAAGAGAAAGGAAATCTGTAATATATATACCAACTCTGGCAACTACTAACCTTTGTATGGTTTGCATAATGTATTCCAAAGGTTTTATTGGTGCTTCTATTTCTTAAGTTCTTAGCATGTTCCATTACATGGTCACAGATTGGTTTCTTAGTTTTTCCAGTGTGCATTATAGTTTGTACAGAGCATTTTTTACTGTACAGCTATTCTTTACGTGTATGTCAGCTCTACATGCAATACAATTTTCCTCTGAATTATCACAGATTTAAATAAACTAGCTATTCTATCATATACTAACCCTATGTGCACTGCAGGGTTAAGTCTTAAAGTACACATGTCATGACCTCTTACAGAGTTACATTCAAAATTTAATAAAAGAGCTTTATTATCAACCCATGTCAATAAAATAAAACTGGCACACAAATGTAGTTTGTAATTCAATTTTAATATTTTCGAAATTGAACATTTTCATTTTAAAAAGAAACATTAAAAAAATTCTTAACCTTGATTTTTCTGTGCCACATGATGTGGCTGCACTCCATATTACCCATTTTAGATTTTCTTTTTCCCCTTATATGCTTTTTGGAGCATTCAACTAATAAAAAACACATCATGTAGATACTGACAACCCAGAATATAAAGTTATAACTTCCAATCTTCTTGCTTTATAGAGCTATAAAAAATATGAAACTTAAATAACACATCCCTCCCAGCTATTCTGTTTTTCAAAAAGTGTCAATAATTCTCTCTGATGTTTCTAATGGATTATTTATAACAAACAGAAAAAGCATTTTTTTGTTTACAAGATTCCTTAATGGTTATTCCATTTTGGTGCCCATAAGTAGATATTTAGCCTCAGTTTTATTGTTTGTGATTGGATTTTTCTGCTATAAACACTAATGAAATTTTTTAAAGCTATCTATAATTTAGTTAAAAAGCCAGTTAAATTATAGTAGTTTTGGGACATTCTATTCTAATGCCTTATAATTGTTTTTAGATCTAATATGCATATTTGAAAGTACACTCTTGAATACAAATGTCTGAAAATAGGTTTAAACTCTTAAGTCCTAATTTATTTATGTATATTTTTACTAACTGTTATACATTTCTTAACAAAAGTAAAATATAACTTTATTAGGTTAGATAACAGAAAGTAAATGGATAAAAAAATCAATAAAAAAAAATCTCATGGGACTCAAATCTGTTGATTACACTACCTTCTCCCACTGTGGTTAACTGCTTGTCATATACTTAAGTAGAGTGTAAAAGGCATTGTAAAGTGATAAAATTAATAGCCAGCAGATATGAAAAGGCTATAAAACTGAGTCTGTTAGGATAAATAACTGCAATTGTATGTTACAATTTGCAGTCATTCTAGGAAAAAAAAAAAGGTATTATTGCTTTATTTCATATTTTTGAACTTTTACTTTTTTACTGTAGATTAATAATTTTGCTAGAGTTAGTAAGTATTAAGGTAGATAAAATAAGAGATTATATAAAGCATAAAGTTTTACTAAAGAAGAAGTATTTGATATTCAGTTAGGAAGTTCTAGAAGTTATGCAAATGAAATATGAAAACTGTAAGATGAAAAGAAATATTATTATTATTATCATAATCTTGAAAATCACCTTTCACTCAGACTGACTTAGTGGCCTTCGTAAGTTCACACAAAAATCTTTAGTAGAAATACTTTATCAAAAATCAGCTGTTTTTAATTCTGTATACAACACATTTATCATGTTGACTAAAAGCTTGCCAATTTTGTGTAGATACATTTAGTAAATTCAGAATTATAGCAAAGATTACTATGTATAGTTCTACAGAAACAATGTCAGTCCAATAGCCCAATGCTGTTGGCAGAGGGTTAAAACAATCTGATAGTGTCAAACAAATAGTGTTTGTTTATTTCTTTTAGAGCAAAGCCAGCTTGGGCTATCTGCTGTATCCACTGCGGGTAATCGAACCCTAGATTTGAGTGTTGTAAGTCTGTAAACTTACTGTTGTAATAAACAAGAAACATTACAAAAGCAAAGTAAAATGTATTTTGAATGATTATGGTGAGAAAGCAATTAATACAGTGACTTAGAGAAATGTTGATGGTAATTTAAGACATTTTTCAATGCCTAAACCTTTCAAATGTGCTGTGTGGTATGGCATACTAAAATACGAGTGTCTACTGTATCACATCAAAGTAAAATATCCACCACACAGAATAAGCTGATCCTACTAAAGTCCACCATCTCACTGAGTTGACATAACTAGGAGTTACAGTATTTAAAGTCTATATGTGAAAAAAAATGTAATAATACAGGCAGTAATAGCATCAAACACAAGAGGTGAAAATGTATTATTCATAGACATGGAGATCAGAAACAAAAACACAAGCACAGTTAAAACGAAATGGGGAAAACTTTCAAAATTGCCACCATTACATTGAAAATCAAAAACATACAAGAATAACATGATAAAAAGACTGCATAGTATATTGGAGCACTGTTGAAGAAATGACAATCTAAAATATTGGGTTGGAACAGGTTCTATTCCAACAATTTAAAAACAAATGACAAAATACTATTGAATGGAGGAGTTATATTTTAAAACACATTAACCCTTTCCAGACAGGTCACAGGCCACATCATCACGTTTGTTGACTCGCATTCAAAATTTTATTGTACTACTATTTCATGAATTTATGTCAATACGTCTGGTACCAAATTGTAGATTATAATTCAAATTTTAGTATTATACATCATTCAATTTCTTAATTTAAAAGTTTATGTTAAAAACCGATTTTTGTGTGTCGCGTGGTATGTTGAATGCAGCACTGGTTCAAATTAGATATTCGTGATGTCAAAATACTAAGTCTAAGTTTTGTATGAATTAGGAACTTAAATTACCAATATTGACAAGCTAAAATATAAAATAAGAACCTCGTATCTTTTCTATTTGCTGAAATATCGCTCATGTACGGAATCAAACATAGTGGCTCCACTCACATCTTTCCATTTTTGAAAACTGTTCCACATATATATATACTAACTTCAACATATGACATGTGAATAATCAACTTAAAGCTCAGAATGTCCCCTAGTGGCTTTCTCAGCCATTTTAAAGTTTTAGGATTCCATCTCATTCTTTTGAAACAAGATTTTAAGGAGGAAGGTTGTGTCTTTAGTGTGCTCAAAATTTCATATTTTTTTAGACCAAAATACAGCTCAGTTCATAAGCTTCATAAATTATAGTGGAATTCAATGTATCAATATAGTAATTAAAAAAAGGCATGAGAAAAACCTTGCTCTACAAACCTTAAGACTTAATACAAAAATTTGATACTTTGGATATGAAAGCACTGTAATGTTTACTGCGAATCTACCAAATTTCATTACCATACGCTTAGTAATTTAAATGTTATAGCATGAAAACTATAACAAGCACAAAACGAGCCCATGCTGAAAGAGTTAACAAGAATTAATGTGGACATGACAAAAAAAAACATATGAGTAAGAGTTAGAGATAAAAAAGTTCCTTAGTCAAAATTTTAAATGAAACTATTAACATATGGATACAAGTTAACTCATTCAAAATAAATACTTAATATAATGATTACCTTTTTCATAGCCATCTTCATTTCTGTACAAACTTGTGTAACACATGGATTTCCTCCATCATCTTCCATGTAATATACTTTAAGATACCTTATATTTACCTGTAAAGACGATTTTGAAGAAAAAATCAATAAAATTACAATTTGTTGTTATACATCAGTAATTTTTTTTAGAGAAAAGTTTCACAATAGGCTCTCTGCACACTGCAGGGAATCAAACCTATTGTTATAAGTCTCAGGGACATATAAACCAGTAAAAAGATTTTGAAATAGATACAAAAGCATATTTTCCATCATTCCTAGAAATAATTTTAGCAACTCAAGAGTCATTAAATAAAATACTACTATAAAGAGCATATCAAAATTTTAAGACCTTAACACAGCCTGAATCCATCATTAAATGCTGTTGAAAGTTAATTATCATAAACAGACTTCACAGTTATGCAGAGTTCTGCATTTGTAAGCAGATTTTCTATTCAAAATGCAGATCTTTATACTTCTTGCATATGTATAAAGTACATTAACACCTCAGGAAGCAGCTACAAAATTTCAAAAACCCACAATACGTAATGTTTTGGTATCTCTTGCAATAGTTCAAAGTATATTTCAAATGCCGGATTGCCATGCATAAAAATAGATGCCAAAACATCATGCAGTAAGCAGAAATAACCAAACCAATCAATGTCATAAATATATGTTGAATGTGGTGCACATAGTATGCAGTAAAAGTGCACCTATACATATCATGTTTTATCATACATTTGTTTGGATTTTACAAAGTGTATTATCTCCATTTTATGATTGTTTAATGTGTATACATATATATGTATATATTTGTACTAAATGCAGAAGATGGGAATAAACATGCTTGTTAGCACTTCTGCTGCACTGAAAAATTCGGCATCAAAACATCTAGCATGACATCTGATGAATAACAACAGTATACTGACTATCTGTCAGATATTTAGTGAATAAATGACAGCATAAGTTTTAAGTTTCATAGATATCAAATCTCATATATTTTAGGTAAAAGGTTAAAATTATGCATTGTTCAGAGCATTTTAACAATAAACTTGTTTCAGATGTTAATAAATACTGATAAGTATAATAAAGTTTGGAGACAATTTGAATGGTTATAAAGAAAACTATTACAAGTTTAACATACTAACAAATGTATGTTTTGATAAGGTTTTTGTCATCATGAGTTATAATACTAATAAGCATAACTTTTATAACAAACATATATATCATGAATTTTGTAGTAAGTAGTAATAAAGACTTGATTTTGGTTTTGTTGCTGTTAAGCACAAAGCTACACCATAAGCCATCTGGGCTTTGCCCACCATGAATCTGAAAACCCAATTTTTGATGCCATATGTTTGCTAAGGTAGTTGTAAAGATGACAAGTTTGTCATATAACAGAACTTTCAGCAGTAGCTACTATTAGCGAAGATGAAAAGTTACTAATGTTCTATATATATACCATTCATTTACTTTTTGAGTGTTTTTAATGTTGAGGATGAAAATTTGGTCATTTTACACAATGGTTTATTAGTAATTCGTGTTCAAGAAGATTAATATTTTGTAATTTAGAAAAAATTTATTCATAGTAGTAGCCAGTTTTAAAGAAGATGAAAGTTTTGTTAGATGTCATACCCATATCACAATAAGAGTGATGATAATATTTAGCAATGTTTCTTTACTGGCCTTATATTATGGCTTTCCAGTAAGAAGAACAAAACACCATTTTGACCACACACTTCATGTGCCTCATGCCACAGCAAATGAGGCCTTTCACTCAATACCAGAACTTGTTAACTGGAAATGCAATACACAAAGTTTCAATCTTGGTAGCATATAGCCAGTGAAAATATATCTGTGTAAAATTATTGTCAATTGTTATTATGATATAATTTCATACAAACTGTCAATCAACAGATCATTCTTTACCAGTATACAGATGTTATATATTATGATGACTGATATATTACAAATGACTAATATAAATATCATTTTGGTCAAGACTTTGTATGTTGCGTTCCAGCTGACCTAAGGACCTCTGGTATTGAACAATAAAGCTTGTTAGCAGTGCCATATGGCTCACAGAGTATGCAGTCAAAATGCTATTATTTTCTTAGTGGAGAGCCGTAGTATAGTACCAGTAAACATAGATTTGTAAAAAAATAATCACCAGTCCTATTGTGGTTTGATGTCACACAAACTACCAAGTAGCCCCAGAGGCTTCCAAGGGTGGAACTCCTAACTAGGCCATCTAAGGTAATAAGCAACTTCTTCCTGCTAGAGCAGATTACAGTATTCAAAGACACTGCCATGAAATGACTGCCAACTGTACCATGTCTTGGGCTCTCTATAACACAAGGAGAATTAGTTGTGGGCGAGGGTGACATCTCCACTGTTGTTCAAAAAGGAAATTTGTTGCTTGTGGAAATAAAGATTGCTGTAGTGAAGACTACTACTGGAGCCACCCACAAAACACTGTCAGCCCTGGAGTGTCTCAAGTGAGAAGAAGCAAAGCCTCACCCACGCTCTGGATAAGTTGTAAATTTTGTAAATTTATTTGGATATAATATATTTTAACTTGATGAGGGTGATTTACTCTAAATATTTAAACCTTATTCTTGTGTTTTGTTTCATGTGTCACACTTTAAAAGGTTTATCTGATTACATATCAAAATAATGATTTAATGGTCTTTTTCGTGTGGTGAGTGGCTTTATGAATATAGAGAGTCTATTTTGCATATTAAGTTAGTCTATAACTAAAGTATACAAATTTAAAGGGTTCATTCACTTGCTTCTATGTCCTGCATTTTCTCATAATGAAAAGGGTTTACTGACTTTTATATGAGAATGAAATCTAGAGAGAGAGAGGTAAGAAGGTTAAGACCATTCCTCGAATGGTAAGGCACTACCCAAGAAAATCAGAATAAATTCATACTCCAACAGGCCATTCCCAACTGAGGTGAAAGAAAACTGGTTGATAGGATAGTAGTAGGAGACCAGTAAGCTCTGGTAATCCACAACATGTTGAACAAAGACTGCAACATCCCTAACAGTTAACTAATCTCAAGAAGTCATAGTAGAAATAAGGCCCGTGTGTGTGTGTAACATTGTCACTTACAGGACTAAGTATAAATTGCTGTCACTTGAGAATCCATTATCCTAATCAACACTTTTGAAGCAAAAGCTAAAGAAAATTAAAATCAAAGTTTTGTTAAATGCAAATCTTTTCAAATTGAACTCAGAAAAGAAACTTGAACACATCTGTTCATTGCAATTCTGAAGAAAAAATTAAGTTGTCACAACTGCATAGATGGAGATATTGCACATGAGGTTGTGTTGCCCTTCTATTGTTGCTTGATGATGTCATCAAGCACCAGCACAGTTCAGGTTAAAAAAAAGAGTTTAGGCGAGAGTTAAATCAAGGCTAGTGGCATGCAAATCTCATTAGTAGATGTATAAGGGAAGTAACATTTCTGTTTGTAAAGGTGAGTTATCACCTCCAAAAATTTGCATTTTGTCACCTTTTATACTTTATACATTTTTCTAGAAACCAGTGATGGAAGTTAACACTTCATTATACAAGTATTTCATAAGGTTGTCTTTTAGTGATAAATATTAAAAGAGAAGATATTTATTTTGCTATGTTATATAAATCACTGATATTTGGTATTTGTAACATCCATTGCACTAAAGGTAGCCCCCCAGTGACACAGCGGTATGTCTGCAGACTTACAATGCTAGAAACCATGGCGAGCAGAACACAGATAGCCCATTGTGTAGCTTTGTGTTTAACTTCAAACAAACAAACAAACTAAGGGTAAAAATTTTATATTTCCTCAATAATTACTAAGAAAAACATTCTTCAATTTTATTGTGAAAGTAGTGTTATGTATGTTACTGCTCATTAACATTCTTTATAAATATTACCATCTGATCAATGTAAGCTACCTACACAAATTATAACTAAAAAAGAACCTGATAACTAGTATAGCTAATTAAATATAGTTATGTGTTTTATAAAGATTAAAATGTATTGTTTCATCAGTTGGGTATCCTCACTGACAGTGATAATTCCAGTAATATTTCACAAATTTTGGTCAGCTTAAAAAAATTGGGGTTAATCCTAAAACCATATACTAAACTAACAATGCTAGATAATCTTTGTAGTAAATATAATAAAAATATATAAATATATATCTATATTGTTGCGTCAGCGAGGTCACGTGACTAGTGTCACGCCACCCATTTTCTAGAAATATCCTGTTTCTTCGTGAATGCCCTAGCATTTACTAGATATATGTTTATTTGGTATATATATAAGACGCTCACAACGTGACGAGACAATGTGTGTGTAGGTAGTGAGTAATTGAACTGCAGTCAGAAAGTATTGTTGAAGTTAATGTTCATTGTTAAAACGTTTGTTATAGAGCGACTGTTGAAAAAAAGTGTATTGGTAAAGTTATATTCAGAAAGAATAAACCAGTTTTATTAAGAAAGGACTTGTGTCCCTAAAGTTTCGTAGGAACGAAGTTACGGAAAATCAACTAACAAACGGAGATGTAACAAATTGGTGTCAGAATATGGGATAAAAAAAAAAGAAGAAGAAAAAGAGAAGATGGAAACGAGAAGCAGCAAATCAAACTACAGTTTAGCAGATTTGATGGCAGCAATACAAGAACAGCAAAAGAAACAAGAAGAACGAGAAAAGAGACAAGAAGAATGAGAAGAGAAATTACAATAGTTGTTAGAGGAAAAAG